TTTTCTCTTCCTTCTATAACTGTCTCCAATAGTTTGCATTTTCCCTCTCCTTTCCTTTCAACCAGAATCTCACTGTGGCGGTGGTTCCGACGGTGACAATATAAAGGTGCCATATCTGCGAACCCAGTTGATGGTGTACATGGATTGTTGGTATCTTGGGTTTGGATCCCAATACTCCATGAAAGACGCGTCCGAGCTATCCTCAACGTTGATTTCACCGTTGTTATAGAATACCAGATCCTGTCATCACAGAGGAGTGTTAGCAACTGAACAGAGAGCGTAAAAAGCAACATGCGGGAGGTTTTTGGAGAGGGCAAGGGACGGCTCCAGTCAGATATCATCGGTCAGTTCAACCTATACTTACCCGCATGATGAGTCCAATGCTCTCACTCGACAAATAGCCATCGTTGAACAGGTTCTGAGCCCATTGCCGCAGGTTTTGCTGGAGCCGATCGCTCCCAGAAGGAAGGCCTTCATCTGTGCCAATGTACCACAACTCATCCTCTGGGCATACGAAGCCGTCTCTTCGAACCCGCCTATCCACATTGACATTGCCTTGAACTCGCCACGCACCACCGGGTGTAGGGCCGTTGGTGGATTCGTGGCCATGGAAGACTCGGATGTTTTGCACACCGATATAAGTATGCCCGTTGACTTCTCTCAGGAACGGGTAATTGTTGAAATCGGCGTTGATGTGGAAGTGAAACACGACCCATCTATCTGGCTCGCCATGGTTGAGGGTGTGTGTGTCTCGATATCGGTCGTACTCATTCCCACTCGGCTGGCCAGGGTTCGGTCCGATCCAGTACGCCAGCTCGAGCAGGGGACCGGCCCGCGTTCCGTCAATCCACTGCCACCGGGCGTAGTGTGGGCTTAGATGGCCGGCCAAGATGCCCTCGAGGATGACGCCTATGAAGGGCTGCCCGTTATTTCCCGCCTCCATCCACCAGACGAGCCGGCTGAACAGTTTGACACCCGTGCTGGATGACCGCAACTGGACGTCGCGCTTTCTCCGTGTGCCGACATAATGACAGAATGCTTGCTCCGTTCGCTGGTTTGCCCTTATTCCTGGACCAGCGCGCAAGGGGTTAAGGAGAACATAGTTGATGAGTGAATGTGGGTCCAAAATATCTCGGTGTTGGTTGAAATACGCCCGTAGATTGTCAGCCTCAAGAATTGTGTCGTAGTGGCCTGCAAAAATATCGTTCCATACAACCGAGAATTGTTTTAGCACACTCTCTGCCGCCGTGAGCATCAGCGCAGCATACTGTGCGAGCCTTAGGTAATGATCGAGCTTACAGTCGGAAGCTCTTCCATAGAGGACGCAGTGCTTCGCAGCCTCCAGCTCCAGAGAACGTTTCTGGTTCGCAGCCCCGGTGAACATGTCACCAGGATCGACAAACAGAACGGTGGCTGGACATGTTGGGTTTTGCATGTAATCTTCCAGTAGCGTCTGGAACTCCTTGTTTTGCACGCCGCCATAGGGATCATCATCGCCTCGCTGGACCAAGGCCACTGGCGGCTTACAGCAATACGCCCAAGCGCCGCCGTAGCAGCCACTGTTTGTCCCGGAATAGGGGTTGGTGACTTCGGTGGCCACCTTGATTCGGTCCGGGCCACATACGTCTTCGCAGATGAAGTCATTGCCGGGAAACTTGGGCGGGTCTGCCTTTTTAACCCATTCGCAATTGGTAAAATCAGCCGGCGTAGGGTTCTGGCAGCAGTAGTGCTTGTTCCCAGAAACACAAGGCTGTTCACCGCCGTCGGCGGTATTGGTCGATACTATCTTGTTCGGGAAGTCACTGGGACAGCCCGTATTGCAGGTTGGTGCCTCTCCCACCCATTTGCACATCCCATACGAGGACGTAGACGCTACGTTTGTGCAACAGGCGCTTTGGTGCCGCGAACTGCATCCAACGCGGAGGGAACCGACGGAGACCTCACCACTGTTGCAACCAGGTTTGCAAGCTCCCGAATTCTTGTGTCCTCTCCATGTACAGACGGGCAGGTCCTGGTCCGAGGGGCAACAGAACACAGACACACCGTCGGCAAGACAGTTTTCTGTACTCAACATGGCCTCCTTGTGGCCATCACGCTGCACTGCCTTGAAACCGTCGGGACAACCACCGTAGCACCCTGACCAGCGGCATGTCTTGACGGGCTGTGGAAGATCGCGGACGGGCTGTTTGATGACAAAGTTGGGCATTGCCATCTGTTTGCGTCCAACAGCCGATGTCAGGGCCTTGATATTGGTGCCTTCTTTATCGTCCTGGCTCATGGCCCAAACCATAACGCCTGGTATACACTGACCCCTGATGATATTGGCCTTGAGACGCCATGTGGCAGCGTCATCAAAAGTCACCCACTGGTCGCCCCACGATACACTCTTGACAGCTGCTTCGCGGTGGAGCGTGGGTGTCAACTTCCGAGCGCTGATTTCATCCTGGATCTCGGGATGAAGAAGCACACCGGTCGTGCCAGAGCACTTGCCGGCATTACCACCGGAACTGATTGGGCATCCGGGTGTATTACAGCTTTGGCTGGTTAGAGCAAAGCTACGGCTGTAAAAGGCCATCCCGAACGTGACTTTGGCAGGCTTGATGTTGTTGCGCCACAAAAGGTCAAGTGCTTGTTGAATCTCCGTCATGTTTGAATGAGAATTCGCGTAGGGACCGGTCCATTTGTTGTCAATGTCCCAGGACCCGTGCATGTCGTAGGTCATGACGTTGAACCAGTCCACGTACTTCTCGAGGTTGACAATGTCGAAGTGTTGTAGATACCAGTAGCTGGCAGGAAGAGTCAGCGAAACCTGCTTTTTCAAGCCGCCACCTTTCATCCTGTCGTACAGTGCCTTTTGAAAGGTCACAAAATTTTTGTAGTCGCCGCCTCTGCCACTGCGATCCTCGGCAACTGGGTATTCCCAGTCGATGTCGATGCCATCAAAGCCGTACTTGTTCATAAGTTTGACAAGAGAGTCAATGAACTTTTTGGTGTTGGCTGAAGACGCAGCGATGTCGCTGAACGTTGTCTGCGTGGGACCGGGGTCGTTGAAGGCCCAGCCGCCTACGGCTATCCAGATGCGGATGTCAGGCTGAATGAGCTTGATGGCACTAATACGCTGCATATATTCGGCCGTCTTTGAGTCGCCAGCCTTGATCTCAAATGAGTTGGGATCAATGGTGGCGAAGGAAAAGATAACATCGGTGTAATAGCCGTACGGGATCTGTTCGGGCAACATCGCGTAGCAGGGACGGTTTGTCGTTGACCAAGCCTCATAGTAGCCAATGACGCGCGTGACGGGCACGCTGTCGACACTGCATGATGGTCGCTTTGAATCCAGTACTGTTAGCGAGTGGCTCAAATGAAGACTGGAGGATAAGAGGATAGGTTACCTTCACCGGGTTGCCCTGACAAAACTCTTCGGTGGTTCCACAGAAGCCGTACTTGCTGCAGCAGACGTTCAGAGGACATTTCTCCGACTTGCTCCATTTCGTAGAGTTCCACGTTCCCGGGTTGCAGTCTGATTTCCGATCACATCCGCTCTGGCATCCGGTTCTAGAAATGACTTGGTCAGAAAGACATATAGAAGCAGAGATAATGGACTGAGAGATAAGAGTGATGGGTGGATATGAACCTTGAACTTTGAACTTACCCACAAAAGTCAGGACCAAAGCCGCAAAACCCGGCACTGGAGCAACATCCTATCGGACACAAATTGGAAGCACTGCATTCCTGTTGAAGGGATAGTTGCAACTGAGATAGAAGAGAAAGCAAAAGAAGGAGGAGCTTGGCCATGATGATAATGGCACTGCTCAAGTCGACAGAAATTCAACTGCCAGTTCAAAATTTGAGCACAATGTATGTGCAGGCTGATGGCTGCTGACATGTTTTTGTATAGGACGGGACTGTCCGACTCTAGCCATATGTAGGATGTTCCTGAAGGTAGACTACTCTCACGTAGCGTGAAAAGAGTTTCATCACCTTGTAGGCCAAGATCCAGGCCTTTCAGTTCGCCAAGCTGGATAATCTGGACAAGGGGGTACGCAAAAGCGGCTCGGACTCGGGACACCTGATCTCGCATCTGTCCGACACCAGGATATAGTGATGAAATATTGGAACTGTAACCTGGTGGAGGCTAGTTATGAAAGGAACCTTCCTTAATGAGACGCATTGAACATCGATATCCTACCACGCTCGAACCCCTATCCAAAATTTGGCTGCGTAGTGATCGCGAGGAGAGGCGAGTCCAACTCTGCCATCAACGGTAGCAAGCTGCGATTTTCCCCATCCCAACAACATCATGTGTTTCCATCACATTGTTGCAACCTCATTCCATGCAGTCAGAAAGTCGGAATCACAATGCCCCACGTGCGTGCCTGAGCGGACGTCAACTCTCCAGAATCCCTCCGTCGTTGTCGAAATGGAGGGTTAGACCATTATTAGCCCGAAGGCACCCAGAAGCACCAAAAAAGGGTAGTTCTTGGCTTCGCCACTTAACAACCGACTAACAGTGGGTGCCAAGAGAAATTTTTTCGGGGGAGAGTTTAGGATCCAGCTTGGTGCAGGTGGAAAACGCAATCAAAGACATTTGGGGCGTCTGAGGTCCGAGTTTGTTGTCAACTCTTTGCCGCCGTTCTCTTCGTGTTCTCTTTCTTCTTAACCATCGTGTCTCGAACGGCAATGCTCTCCTACTCTTGCCGTCACGCAATGGCGGCACTCATTGTTTTGTTATCGTCGTTTGCACCATTCGTCGCCGGTCAGTTCCAGATCGCTCCCACCGGTGCTTTTGCTGGCCTAGGTCTCGCTGCCACATGCGAATCTGTCCTGTACCAGAGCATCAACTGTGATGCGTATGTCCTGAATCTCGGCCAAAAGGTTTACCACGGTTCGCCGGGAAACAAGACCTTTACAGACACCATCTGTTCTACGACATGCTGGACCGGTCTCCAAACGGCGCGGAGAAGAATTGTAGGCGCCTGTGCCCAAACGCCAGACCTGTTTCCTGGATACCCCGTCCTCGCCATGATCGATCCTGTTGTCTCTGGCTGGAACGAGACTTGCCTCAAGGACTCTGATGGAGGCTACTGCAATGGTGAGTGACCCTATCCAGATGAGAATCCTTCACCGTTCTCGTTTTTTTTTTTTCCCCTAATCAGCAACTGAGCTTCGCTAACACGCAGTGAAATGAACAGCCAAGATCGAGACGTTTCCAGAGGTCGAGAAGATTGAGGACATGCCGCAAGCACAGCTTTGTTCCTTCTGCCTGGGGGCGAAACTCCGGCTCATGCAGTCGTCGCCCTACTCGGCATACGATGAGCTACATGCTGAGAGGCTCGAGTATATCAACAAGCGTTGCGGAGCAGGAACAGGCGGCAGCACGAGCCCTCTACCTCCCGCAATCCAACCAAACGGAACCACATCGGACACCTGCGTCTCGGGGAACAAGTACACAGTGAAGAATGGCGACACATGCAACAGCGTTGCACAGACAAATGCTGTGTCCTCATCCACCCTCTACTATATTAATCCTGAGCTCTTGAACTGCAGTGCTCCTGACGTTGGCCTGGAACTCTGTCTGCCTGACAGGTGCGAGACCACATACATGGTTAAGGAGGCTGATGACTGCGTGACGATCGCCATCCGGGCCGAAGGCAGCGCCGCCTCTTCGTGGCAGGATCTCGTGGCATGGAACGCGGGACTGGACGACCGGTGTAGCAACATCTGGTCCCCGTCCAGCAGCCCTCGCTACTGGGGTAACGTGATCTGCATCAGCGCCCCGGGCGGACTCCCCTCCAGTCCGGGAACGGAGCCCAGCAACGGAAATGGCAACGGTACCGGTAACGGCAACATTGGCGGTCCGGGTGGCTCGGGCGACGGGTATGCTGACTTCCCGTTCTGTGCCCACGGGAGGAACCATTGCACAGGGAACAACGACGCTGTGTGGAGCTTGGGTGCAGGCACAGAGTGATTCCACTTGCTCTTCGCTGATTGTCGGGACTGCTGTGCCTATTAGTCTTTGGTTGCTGGCTAATCCATCGCTGCGAGAACCGGTGAACTGTTCCAAGCGGTTGCGCGTAGGGTCATGGTATTGTCTACACCCTGTTAAGGGATTTGACAAAGTGCCGTCTTCTACCTCCACAACAGTGGGCGCTTCTTCGACCTCAACAGCTAGCGCTAGACCTTGAAACACTTCAGCCCGTGCTTATCACTCAAGGCCACGACTGTATGGTCACTAAGACCCCAGATAATTGTTGTTAGACAGAATGCAAAGTTGTCTGAGCTGTAGGATCCTGATTTACGGGACCCGGCGGCTTCAGCCTGTCCCTAGAGCTGCACATTGCCCGTACTGGTGAAATAGTCCTCATGAGCTCCCATGTCGCAAGCAGCGTAACCGTGTCGCCCAGAATAGCCACGACGCGAATGCAAGTGTGACGGTGAAGAGGCTGTATAAGCTGCTGTTCAGACACATGACCAGAAACTCGACATCCATGATCTAAGACAGAGTTGCAGTGGCAACATTGATCTCCCGCGTCCTTCAAAGAATCATTTCGTAAGAGGAACAAGTTGTCTGCCTGGTTCCTTACAGACTGCAAGCCCTTGGCTCCGCGTGAGAAGCCTCGGCCCATGGTAGCGATGACCGTAAGGTCCGCAATGTTACCTTGAGGGAGTAGTAGGATTGCTGCAGCTCTTTGACGTTACCCCTTACCGAACGCAGGAACGTGAGCCGCGCCACGTTCCATTCGGAAACATATGATGGTGCCGTATATGCAAAGATGCTGACATCCCAAAATGAGAGTTCCCGACTTTTGTCCTCATGATGCCTATCTGCCCCACGCGTTGGTGAGTGAAGACAAGTAACGGTCGCTGTAGGATGGGGAGTATTGGTGCCAATTTCCCGTGTTAATGGAGCAGACAGCTTGGCTCTCGAAAACCAACTGAAATGAGGTAGGCATTCCAGTTGAATGGAAAGTAGGTGCCAGATCTAGCAGAATTCTTGGGACCACACTGCGTTTATAAAATGTCTCCCGCCAGCATTCATGCCACTTTGGTTGCGTTCAGCAAATCAGCCGTTTTTGTGATATTCTTTTTGGTTCATCATGAAGTCGTTACAGCTCGTCTTCGCTGCCATCTTCCTCAGTCACGGGGTGTGGTCGCAGTTCACCGTACCGCCCGACACAACAGCTGATCCCAATACAATCAAGACGTGCACGTGGTGGCACGTGGCAGGGAGTAGCGACTCCTGCGCCAGTATTGCTTCCGCCTACGGGATCACGAGCGAGCAGTTCGCAAGATGGGTAAGTTCATGCTGCTGGAGATGCTGAATGGAAAGTCAGACCCTTCAAGGTTGTGATTGCACATGTCGCAGGACGTGACTGACTCTCCGAAGAACCCGTCCGTTGCAACGGCCTGCAAGCTCACTGTGGGCAACTCGTACTGCATCGAAAACAACTTTGGTCAGGATGACCCGCCAACGCCGTCTACATCGTCGTCCACGCTGATTGGCACTACCACGACATCCACCACAGCCTCTACCACAACTGGCAACGGCATCTCCACGCCCACGCCTATCCAGGAGGGCATGGTGAGTAACTGTAACAAGTTCCATTTTGTTGAGCCAAACCAGGGATGCACCACGATCGGGTCCACCTACGGCGTTTCGCTCGCGCAGTTGGTAGCCTGGAATCCCGCCATTGGCTCCCAATGCACGGGGCTTTGGGCGAATACATATCTCTGTGTTGGTGTCGTCGGATCGAGCACCACCTTGACGACGACAACAACGAAGGCGACCACTACAACGAGCAGTGGGAACGGCATTACGACCCCGACGCCGACGCAGGCTGGCATGGTGGGCAACTGCGACCGCTTCCACCTTGTCAAGTCTGGAGACCAATGTGGCACCATCGCGTCGACGTACGGCATCACGCTGGCCAACTTTATAGCTGGAACCAGCCGTGGGACCAGCGTAGGCCAGTCGCTATGGCTCGACACGTATGTGTGTGTGCGGACGATTGGGTTCGTGCCGCCCAAGTCAACGACAACGACGACAACCACCAAGAAGACGACTTCGACAACTACCGCGGGAGGAGTTGCAACGCCGACTCCGACCCAGCCAGGAATGGTCAGTGGCTGCAAGAAGTTCCACAAGGGTGAGTCTGTCTCTTTTTGTGTCCGTGATCATGTCGATTGGCCGTTGTTGCTGACCAGGGGGTGGGAACGTGTCAACAGTCGCCTCGGGAGATCAGTGCGGCACCATCGCAACGCGGTATAGCATCTCGCTGGCCAACTTTTACAGCTGGAATCCGGCCGTGGGAAGCAATTGTCAAACCCTCTGGTTGGATTACTATGTCTGCGTTGGTCGTTAGTCGGTGGTACGACAGCTGTCTCCTCTCTGTATCTTTACTCACCTTGGCCCCGTTGTCTGATGGCCTGGTTTTTCATGGGATTGGGAGCAGTGGTTGTCGTAGACGAGTAGAAATTCACCAGCTCAATTGAAACGACGTGCCATATGGGTTACGTGTGACTATACAGGCCACGGTGCGTGTGTATGTATGCGCGCTTGTCTTGGGCTTCTTGTTGTCTGGGCCTGATGGCACCACGTTCAAGTGGTGGGAGGGTCGGCAACCGGCCGGCAAGGGAAACGTCATGTAAGGTCCCCATGGGGTCAACCCCGAGTTTTGACGGGAAGTGATATCAAGCAAGGACATCAAGGAGGATGCGAGCTACAAGCAGGGTTCTTTTCGTGGTCAAGGAGTCTGGATCGAAAGGGTTGAGGGGAGGGAGAACCCAAGAAAGTAGGGCAGGTCAAAAAAAACCCCCAAATCCAAAGAGCACAATGCACCTTCCCAAGCGCAACAACGTAGCGCATGTCGAATGCCGATGTAAGATGAGAAGTGGAAGGAGTGCCTGAGAACTGGAAGGAAGCATGGACGAAAATCGGGCAGCGGGTGGAAAGAGGAAGAGCCGAAGAGGGTAGTTGAAAGTGGGGCTGTATCTTATGTAGTTACAGGTGATAAGTACAGGCGGGTGGTGTCGCATCCGTACAGCGAAAGGGGGGGTAGAAGTTGCCGTCAATTAATGGTAAAATGACCGTTGAAGATTTCAGACGTTTCCAAGCGGGGAGTTAATCCAAGTCCTGTATAGAAATTTCAAAACGTTAGTACGGGCCAACGATAAAACCCCGCCAAACGCCCGAAAAAACAAACATCCGACACAGGCATATGTGACGGCCTGGTCATCCGTCGCAACTATATAAGACCACTTGATACCCGAATTGCCTAGCTTCGGTTACTTGTATCCTGCTTCAATTACTTGTATCCTTTTGGAACATTGTGGTCTTGTACCCTTTTGCGGGGACACGGGCTGGTTAGTGCAGTGGTCTGCCACCGCCGTGACAGGACCCGCCTTCAGTAGGAGCTATCTAACTCCTTGCAAGTTCGGCAGGGTTTCTGTTAGCTACGGCCCGGATATCCGGCTTCAGGTATATAAGTGCCGTGTAAGCCACTCCTCGTCCCCCTTACCTCTTAAGGTTCTCACCCACCCATCCAATTCCCGTACATCACTTCAACAAAGTTAAATCATTGCCGCCGGCCATCATGGTTTCCTTTTTTGACGCATCCCGCCACTACTCAAAACACGGCGACTTGGAGTCAATTGAAGCCATGTTGCGAATCTGGAGGAACGAGACCGAGTCTGATGCCAATGCCGACATGGGCATGCCCGATCTGCAGGGCGCCATGGCCGACGTCTTTTGCCGGGCTGTCTGCCGTGGACAAGAAGCCGCCGTGCGGATGATGCTTGACGCCGGTGTTGATCCGACTCTTCGTCAAGCTTGTGATCCAGGCTACTCCCCTCTCCAAGTTGCCGCTGAGTATGGCCAGCGCGACATTGCTCGCCTCCTGTGGAATGTGGTTGGTCCCCAAGGCCGATTCCACTACCCTAGCCGGAGACAACCGTCTGAAGCCATGCCGAGCTGTCTCGTTGTTGCTGCCTATAACGGACACGCAGATCTGGTCGCCGACTTCCTCAACCTCTACGACGGCTGGTCCAGTCTTGAGAGACAAACAAGCCTTTTTGAAGCGGCTGCCATGTGGCACGACGACGTGGTTGCCTTATTGCTAGCCAAGTTCCACTATCAAAGTGACGACATCCAATATGCCCTAGAGTCCGCAATCGCCATCAACGGCCGCGACTACGCAAATGGGATACCCGTGCAGAGTCGTAACGGAGAACCTCTCAACCAGGACGACCAGATCTGCGTTGTGCGTCGACTCCTCAATGCCGGCGCAGACATCAACCGGGCGTTCAAAGATCGGAAAGCCTTGCCCATCCACGAATCCTTCACCCAGATCGAGCTTTTGAAGTTGTTACTCGGAAGGGGTGCAGATCCCAACGAAAAGGACGGCCATGGCCAAACGGTGCTACATAGAGTTGCCGCAAACTTCAATTCTAGCCCCCGAAGCAGACAGAATCGGGACTACCTAGAGGCCCTCCAGACCCTTCTCCAATATGGCGCATTGCCCGACGCCCCTGACAACGAAAATGTCACGCCTCTTCACCTGCTTGCGGACACCGGGACACCTAACGTGCTTCGCTTATGCCTGGAATACTGCGTGAATGTCTCCAGCGCCGTACGCCTGCTCAACCAGTTTGGGGAGTCACTGTTACACTACGCTGCCGCCGCCGGAAACGGAGAGACTGTTGAGTATCTGCTCGACCAAGGTCTAGATGCCGACCAAGCGAATGCCAACAAGTGGACGCCCTTGCTCTGTGTGCTGACTCCCGCCAAAAGCTACAACAAAGGACAGACAGCTGCGCGGCTCGCGGTAGCCCGTCTCTTGCTCGAGCGTGGTGCCAGCGCCCAGGTGGTGACGGACGAAGGATGGACTCCGTTGCATGCTCTCGCTACCGTCCGAGACGTTGACGCCACTGAAGAAGAGAGGACCGGGGTAGGAGCGTTCGCGGAGGAATTGATTGAAAGAGGCACGCCCGTCGACGCAGAAGCAAGTGTGCTTCGATACTGCTCTCCTATCTTCACATCGTTTCTGTTAGGTGCCTGGGGGCATCGGATGGCTGAGGTTATTCCCCAGTTGACCAGGTGTGCCGAGGATCGTCATATGCAGGTGTACGAGGACTGGGAACTGACACCGCTTCAATGGGCCGGCCGTACCGGCGCGATTGATATTTTTGATGTGCTTATGAGGCACTTTGCGTCGACAGAACAAGCTGAGCCCAGGCCTGATGAAGGTGGCGTACGTAGGTAGGTCTTGTAAGGGCCGAGGAACATAGAGTTCGGTAAGATTACTGCCATGAGAGGTAGGTCTAGGATCCCCGAGGGACAGAATGGGACGAAGGATACTGGGCGAGCACATACATAAATACGCCGGCTAATTATGAAATCGGTACCAGCAGCAGCAGTTGGTCCACCAGCAGGTCCAATACTCCTTTAAAGGGTTGAAATTTGTTAAGATTTCGACTGTTAATTGCCATTCTAATTCCTTTGTCGATTTGACTCTCGTTGTAGTTATAACCACTCGAGGGCGTTGTCGGTGTATATCAGTATTCAAAAGTACCCACGATGCCAACTCTCGTATAATCGTTGATAGGCTCTCAAATTCCCTTTTGAAAAAAATTATCGTTGTTGTAAAATTTAAGAACG